TTTTTTCAATTATATAACTTATTGATTAATTAATAATTAATTTTCAATTTATATTATTTAGTAATTTAGATTTTTTAATTAGTAATATTTAAATTTTATTAATATTTATTTATAATTAATAGTTATTAATGAGGGTTATAATTGGAAAAAAAATGATAAATAAAGTAATAAACTACCAAAACGTTACTCCAAGTAACGTTTCAATAAGTTATCTTATTTGCATCCAAACGTGTTCCCAGAAAATATATTAGCTTATATTTGCCAAACAACGCTTTAGTCAATGGGTTAATAATATTAAACAATTTAAATTATATTATATATTTACAACTAAAAATCAAGACACTAAAAAGATTAAAAAAAATCAAATAACGTGTTACAAAATCATGCATCAGGCCATAGCATGTCACACGTTTAACATAATATCATACATGAACCTTGAGTAAGAACGAGTCATGATGGGCCACGACGGCTTTCACGGCGAACCTTTTGAACACCGTTCAAAAAGTGGTTTTTCTAGAAGCGCAGTATTAAAGCCAATTATACCCAAATAATTGTTATTTATTGATTATTAATGATGATCGCTACAAATACAAACCCATAAAAGTGTACTCTAACAAACATGGTTGCAACTAAGCAACCAAAACTAGCAACAAATTGCTTATTTTTAAACCACATAATATGATCGACATAAAAGATTAAAAGCCCATGGGCTTATCCTTTAACAAACTAAATTAACTCGAAAGGTGCCATTTGGAACTGTCCCCATCTTTGTTCCAGTGTCCCGGTGTAACCGATCGACATCCTAATCAAACCGGGCGATATACCAGCCAACGTCTTCTCCTTTTCATTCAATTCACTACTCGTGCTACTTCCTGAACAAGACATTAAGGTATCATAATACCCCAAACTAACCGCCATGAGCCCGAACCGTGTCTTATTTTGCAGCACACTCATCAATTTGTTGGCCCGTGTTTCGGTCTCCATGTCCAAACAGAGCATACCACCATAGCCGTATTCCTTGTTGGCGATGGACTTGAAGAGATGGTGATCGGGGTGGTCCTCAAGGCCTGGGTAGATGACCTTGAGGCCCATTTTCTTCATCCTCTGGGCGTAGACCAATGCCCTGTGGCATTGCTCTTTCATCCGGAGACTCAAGTGAGGGATTCTCTGTGATAGGTCGAATGCAACCATGGCATTCATGGTTGGACCTAGTAACATCAGAGTCCCTTGGTGAAGATCCATCATTGAGTTCACCAAACTTGCAGGTCCACAAACAGCTCCTGTAATCACAAGCATACCGTTTAGTCTCGTTCAATACGTTCAATTAATTCACTCGTTAAGTGATACGTAGAAGTGTCACAATAAGGACATTTTTGATGTCCTAAACGCGTTTTTAGAACATTTTTCAAAACAAAATGTAATGAATATTGGCAAAAGATCAAACCTACCAGCAATTACATCACCCCCGCCGCTAATGTACTTGGAGATACTATGGATTACGACATCGGCACCGAGCCTTGCCGGAGAAAGTACCATCGGCGCAAAGGTGTTGTCGACCACCACCGTCACACCCTTTTCATGGGCTATCCTGGAAAGCTCTGGGATGTTGGCCACTGTTAACGTGGGGTTAGATATGGACTCGAAGTATAAAACCTTGGTGTGCCCTTCCACTATTGCCTCCTTCACCTTTTCCAAGTCCCTTATGTCAACAAACGACGTCTTTATATTCGATGACTTGGGAAGAAAATGGGTGAGAAAGGCGTGGGTGCCTCCATATAGCGTCGGAGACGCCACAATGTGCTCACCGCTGCTCACCAGCTGCAAGATAACCGAGGAGATAGCAGACATGCCGCTAGAAGTACAGTATGCCGCCTCGGTCCCTTCCATGGCCGCCAACTGACGGCTGAGATTAAGAACAGTAGGGTTGAAATGGCGACTGTAGATGAAGAAATCACGGTCGGGACCTAGCTCCCCGGTGAACATGCGACTGAGGGTCTCGGGTTCCATGACGGTGAAGGTGGCGGAAGGCTCGATGGACATGTTAACCCCGCCATGCTCTCCAAATTCATGGCGAGCATTGGCCAAGGCCGTTACAGGGTCTTCCAATGTTGGTAGTTTCTTGGTGATGAAATCATCATCCCAAGTAGAGTCATCGGGAGTCATCCTCTTCTTTGAAAGAACTGTGTCTGCCATTGAAAGAATTAACGTCTGTAACAATAAGATATTGGAATTACAGAGGAGATGAAGATGAAGAAGATGGAGAATGGAGAGGGTATTTATATAGAGGACTGGAAGGTTTGTTTGGTGTGAAAGCATGGCGGCTTAATCATAACTTATCAAGTGTGCTTGTTGCCTTAAGAATCTTAACCAACAAGTTGACCAATATCCCTTTAATATAGCATGTAAGTCGTTTAAATTCATTATAACAACTCATTAACACCCTTTCTTTTTCTTACTTAAACGACGCTTGGTTTCCTCGCACATACGGAGCGCCTGTTGCCATACGCGGTTTGGTTTCCTAGCACCATGGTCGAGTTTCCCCACATGGGACGCCCGTTGCTCATACGTCATGGCCACCATTGCCCATGCTTCGATCAACGATGTATATTATATATAGTTAAGAAATGACTTTTCTTTTAGTCAAGTTCTTGTCTTCAACAAACTATAGAGTTAACTTAGAAAAATAATTTATACTATATTATAAATTATTTGACAAAAACTCTTAAAAATCATTTTTATGTATAAAGTACTGTATATTGATGTATATTACTTAAAATTCGAGATTACAAGTAAATTATACATAAGTATAACTTATTAAAGCTTCGTGTTTGAATTCGTATAACTAACTATAGATAAACATAATCAAATAAAGAATATACATCATCTTCTTTAAAAATAGTAAAAAAATCTAAAATATAATTAGAATAATTATTGAGTTATAACAAAATAAATAGTTATTATATTTATAAGAAAATTATATTATTAAACCAAATATAAATTACTTCATTACTGAACCTAAATTAAATTATAATAAAAGAATTGAATAAAAAAATTACACAAAAATATGAATTTTAAATAGTTAATTTGATACTAATATCGATATTTTTTGTCAATTTTTAATAATATTTTCAAATTTATATTTTATTCAAAAATAAAAACATTATCGCTTCTTCAAAATCCACAAAAGACCATACTATAACATCGACTGAGATAAAGAATAAATTGAAATGTTAAAATCAAGATGTATCTCGTTGCATTGTGTGAGTACCTTTCTAGTAATATAATAATAAAATGTTATAAAATGACTTAATTTTGCTTAAAACAATTTTAAACTCTAAAGTCTCGTTAAAGACACAACATTAAAATAAATTACATTTATTTAATGCATAAATAAAACAATTAGCTATTAATATTTCAATTGGGTTGGACCATAAAATACACAAATGCATCGAATGTTATCAATGGAATTATTGAAATATTAAATAACTTAATTAAACATAATTTCTCATTTAATGATTTAAATTGTGGATGATATAATAATAATAATAATTGACTTTTATAAATGTTATATAAAAACATTTGAGCTTTAATACATGTATCATATATATACTCTTCAAAAATGTCTAAATGTCTTATTAAATTATTTTATATGATTTAAGTTTACAGAACAAACAATAAAGCGTGTTTTTATAAGACACTTTTGAACATATAACAAGTATTTAGGATTAAAAATAAAATGTTGTATTAGTTATTTATATGACGGTTTTGAGAAATGTCATATGAATACATCTTTTTCTATGACGTTTTAGGCGTCTTAACAATATTCTTAGAACATTTTAAAATAAATATCGTGTTAACCATATAGGATATTTTTGGAAAATGTCATATGGACACATCTTTTTGTAGGACGTTTATTTTTACAAGACATATTTTTTTTCATTAAGTATCGTATATAAAAAAGTTAATCATGATCTTTTTTTTCCAAAACTAAAAAAAACTTTGTGTATAAAAATAAGAAAGTGTGCAAAAATCTCCATATTTAAATTAATCTATAAAAATGACTACATTGATGGAGAAACATTATATTTAACCAATAAGAAAATTTGAAATTAAGAATTTAGGTGAGAAAAATAATATTTTAATAAATGTATGAAATATTTTAATAATATAATTACTATTGTAATCTTTAAAATGAAAAAGTTATTGATGTTGTTTGCAATCTCTTTAGAATTTTTGAATTTTAATTCTCCATTTTAATTTCTTTTTAGAATTTAGAATTTTAATTATTTATTTTAAATTTTTTAGAAAATTTAAATGTGTAAACCAATTGGTTTTTTAAGTTTTTTTTTTGTTGTTGTTGATTTTGAGAACAAATTTAAATTTTTTGGTCTATTTTGAAGGACCATTCGGTTTTTTGGTTGATTTTAAGGTATTTTTTTTTTGCTTTTTTGTAGATATTTTTTTTTATATTTTTCTAATACTTCGAAGCATTTCTCAAAGTTTAAAAGATACATTTTTCATATTAAAAAAAATCCTACTTATATAAATAAGTTGAACAGGTATACGAAAAACCGGTTGGAAGGCCCTTATTATGACGTTATACATACATGTTTTATAAATGTTATGACATTTTTAATTATTTTAAAAATAATTAAATAATAACGTTGAAGTTATTTTATTTTATTATTTATAATTCATTAATTAATCATCGACGACTAAAATAACGTTGAAGTTTAATGATATGCGCATGAAATCTAATGACCAATAACACCATCATATTAAATATATATAACATAAAAAATAAATCAAAATGTTAAGGAATCACATCTTGCATATGCAAATGGCTGCGACCAACTAACATGATTCAAAAGCCATCACATATAGTGGTGTTTGATTGGTTTGAGTTTGAGCTCTAAAAATTAAAAGTGTCTGGAGGTTACAGGTTCGAATCTAAGGAGAAATAAAAATTCTCTTGTGTCCACAGAGGTTCAAATGCGGTGACTCCGGCCTACCCACGAAGCGAGTGATCGCCATGTGATTAGTCGGCTTGCATAACGGGTTGAATAACCAGGTTAATAAAAAAACGATCACCATTACATATTATCTATTTATTAAGTAGAAAGAATAAATTAAATAAATTTCTATTAAATAGAGGGTATTGTTATATACATCATTTTCTATTTGATTGTTGGATATGGCAAATTTGATACAGGTGAATTTTATCAGAGCATATTCGAAGTTAACTTCTTGGTACATCCTGTTGTTAGCGTAGCTTCACAACACAACCTTTTTCGAACAAGGATCAGCAGGCGGTGGTGGCCTCAGTAGCGTTGCAAGGCTCATAACGCCCAAATTATTGGCCCCTTTCATCGATCAAGCGTCATTCTCGTATACTAACCAATATCCTCACTCGTGTCCCGACCATTGCCTTCATATAACGAATCAAATACCGACTCATGTTCTGACTAGTGTCTCCTGATTAGTGACTTTGTATAACGATTCGTGTAATGACTTGTGTGCGGATGCATACCCCTCGGACAACTCAACACCCCCACATATATATATATATATATATATATATATATATATACACCTTATGGACAAAAAACAATGAGAATAATTCGATAAAAGAAATTACATTTCTCACCCAGGTCCCCAAAAAAATTAAAATTACGGGCTTAGGGCTGTTATGGTAAATCTTATAGAGGACTATTTTAATTAATTTTCCTCCAAATTAAAGCTTACAAAGATATGTTTTGATCCGTATACATAATGTAAAAAGTCTACAATTGAACTGCTAATTTAATTAAAAATATCTTAACTAATATTTGGTACAAAAATTTATTGCATTTTAGTCTTACCTAATGCAAGATTACGTCTATCAGCTTGTTTGACATATTTTAATTGAAAGTTGTTTTTAATTAGAAAATAACGTAATCGTCATTTTGCTAACAAAGATTCATCAGATGAAACACATATTCACTGTGTTGTTTCATCTTATCAAATAAAACACAATTTCCATAAATATATTATTTCACCTCATGAAATCAAAAAATAATATTCATGTATATCTTATTTTGATTAATATCTTGATATATAATTTTTATTCAACCTTACTTATAATAAACATTATTAATCATTTGATTTATACCGAAAAAGTCGGTACTTGACATATCCAAATAGTTTATGAACATTGAAATAAGTAGATTCTTTTCACATTTGTTTAATCTACTTAAATCAAGAAAACGATACCATTTCTATCAAAAAATCGTGTCTTAAAACACGATAAAAAATAAATTAGTATCATTACAGATGTGGAAATGTTGGATTACTTTCTAAAAGAAGATCTCGGGGATCTTGTTGCAGTGATTGTACGTGTTTGAGATGACTAATTCTTGAACACGTTTTTTTGTGTGATGTATTTTAAAACTCTACAAAACGTGAAAGTTATGTTCCAAAATATTTATATGATGAAGGTCAACTATCTTTGAAGTTCATCCTCTATTATTAGTCTTTGCCTTATAAACATGAACAATTAATAAATTAACTTACAAAATGTGGTGTTAATTGTTTTATTATAATGATACAAGTATTCAAATGTGAATGCTAATTGTGCATATTTTTATACATAGTTTTAAAACACATTAAGGATAAGGAAAAGCACGCTTTTATTCAAACATTTTATGTGCACAACAGCCATTCACACACACACACACATTCATACACGTCATATCGGCATTCTCGTTTGAAACTCCCCCCCCCCCCCCCCCCTCCCCCAATATATATATATATCTATACTATATTATAAAGTATTTGAAAAAAAAATTAAAAACGATTTTTTATGCACGAAGTACTGTTTATTGATGCATATTACTTAAAATTTAAGATTACAAGTAAATTGTGCATACGTACAATTTATTAAAGTTCCATACTTGAATTCGTCTAACTAATTGCAGATAAATATAATCAAATATTGGATAAACAACTCATTTTAAACATAAAAAATCTAAAGTATAATTAGGATAACCATTGATAACTAACAGAATACTTAGTTATTATCTTTATAAAAAAATTATATTATTAAATCTAAATTAAATTTCTTTGTTATTAAATCTAAATTAAATTTTAATTAAAGAAATTACACCAAAACACAAGAACTTTAAAAAAAATTAATTTAATACTGATATTAATATATATTTTTTTCAAAATTTTATGTTTTAAATTTATATTTTATTCAAAAATAAAAACATTGTCACTTTCTTAAAACCACATAAAACCAGTGTTTACTTAAAATTTAAGATTACAAGTAAATTATGCAACAATACAATTTAATAAAGCTCGATGTTTGAATTCGTATAACTAATTGTTGATAAACACAATCAAAATAGAGCATAAACATCTTATTTTAAAATATGAAAAATCTAAAATATAATTAGGATAATTATCGAGTTCTAACAAAATGATTAATTATTATCTTTATAAGAAAATTATATTATTAAACCAAATATAAATTACTTCGTTATTRTACCTAAATTAAATTATAATAGAAAATTTAAATTAAAAATTACACAAAAAATTGA